AGCGGGCTGGGGCCCATCAAAGCTTATCCTCGGCTGGGGCCTCCCACTCCTGGGGAACCAGAGGCTCCTGCCCAGGACCGAACCTTCCACTGTGAGATCTGCAACGTCAAGGTCAATTCGGAGGTCCAGCTGAAACAGGTATGTCCTATACTTATCCCAGGGTATCTGAGGAATTTGACCCACTGCAGGGAAGGGAGCTTGGGTAGGGCCCTGTGCTTAGCAGTGGCCCTGCTGCCAAAAGCTCACAGCTCAATACCCACTGTACCACAGCACATCTCCAGCAGGAGGCACCGAGATGGAGTGGCCGGGAAGCCCAACCCTCTACTGAGCCGGCACAAGAAGCCTAGGGGTGCTGCAGAGCTGGCGGTGAGGCCTGGATGCTGGGGAAATGGGCTATTGGGAGGACCCAGGAAGGCTGGAAAGGGATCTGGGCAAGCTAGAGGTTGGGCTTGCCGGACAACTGACCGGACCTCTGTCTCCACCCCCCCACCCCCTATCTCTCTGCCTGCTGCAGGGCGCGCTGACTTTCTCAAAGGAGCTGCCCAAGTCCCTGGCCGGTGGCCTGCTCCCCAGCCCCCTGGCGGTGGCTGCGGTGATGGCCGCTGCCGCAGGGTCCCCACTGTCCCTGCGCCCAGCTCCAGCTGCACCTCTTCTGCAGGGACCACCAATCACACATCCTCTACTCCACCCAGCCCCAGGACCCATCCGAACTGCGCACGGACCCATCCTCTTCTCCCCCTACTGACCTCAACCCTGAACCCCTCCCATTGAATCCCCCACCTCCAGCCGGGACCCAGGCCTCCTCCTCCCGGCGCTCCCTGAATGGTCTCTCCTTCCCCCCACCCCGAGGTACGGGGTTCCAGGAAAGGGGAGGGGCAGCGGGGGAGGGGGGCTTCAGAAGGGGGGGAACACCCCAGATCTCAGGGAACCCCGCCCCCTGTCCTTCCCTCTCCCCTAGAAAAGAGGGGGGCCGTCTCACCCCTCGAGCCCCCTCGGAGACACCCCCTCCCAAAAGCCATGTCCATCCAACCCTTCCCCTCCAAACCTAGCACAAAACGGGGTTCACAAGCCATGGTCGGGGCCCGGGGGGAGAACAAGGATTTTCTTGGCAATAAGCGGACTCTGGGACTCCGGCCCCCCTACCCCAAACTAAAGCGCTTCCGTGAACAACCCCGTCCTCCGCAGGGGGGAGGGGAGCAGGCGGGATCCTGGGTCCCTCGTAAGCACTTTGGTTTTACCGCCTGCAACCTCACTGTGCCCGCCCCGCACCATGCCCCAGCCCCAGGTCCAGTCGGGCCCATCACAGGGGCAGCACTTGGGGGGCATCTCAGGCACTTGGGTGGGACCAAGGAGATGCCCTCATAGACCCTTCCCTCGCCTTCCTCCCCGGTCCGGGTTCCATTCTTTTCACCAGCACCCATCGCCCAAGGGGTACCAAGGGGGGCAAGGGGTGTCCAGTCCCAGCCCACCCCCGCCTCGCCTTCCGCAAAACTGTGAGCAAAAAGCAATAGAAGCCTCGCCCCCGCCCCGGCCCGCCCCTTTCCGCAGGATTTGGCGTCTGTAGCCTCCCCATTCCAGTCCCAAGACCTCATGGCTGCCCCCTCCCGTGACACCTCCACTGCACAACTCGGGCGGGGGCGTGACCCCCAACCCGTCCGTCCCTTCTGTGGTTTCCGTGTGGTCAAGCCCTTCCAGCCGCCGACCCGGGATGGGGACCGGCCCCCACTGGCCCTCCCCTCCCCATGGACTCTTTCTGCTTGACAATGTAGCAACCCTCCCACCCACTTTCTCTCTCCTTGACAATAAAGTCTGGATTCGTTCTGCCCTCAGTACCCAGAACTCAGACTGTTTTTGCTCGTTGTTTGGGGTGTGATTCGCTCAGAAGATGTGTCTTATGGTGAGGAAGTCCATTGAGGGGTACGGGAAAACGTGATTAGGAAAAAGCTGTGTAAAGCCAGCAGAAACTCCCAGTTCCTGCCTAGGAACGGGTCTACTTGGCCAGAGGGAATCATTTCTAGTTGGTGGTGTCTTGACTACAGCTGAGGCTGTCGACAATTCTATGTCAATCCGCTAGGCGGCGCTAAGGACGCAGAAAAGGAGTCTCCAGTTCCGTTAATGTGTTTCACGCAATTCTAGGGAGAGGGATCTAAACCCAGACAAGGAAAGTACCCGGGCTTTTTTGTCCCTGTTGGGAACCCGCACCAACAGGACGGCCAAAGGAAGGGATGAGCCTCATATACTGACCCTGGATCAGTCATTGTGCTGTGTGAACCTAGCACATTTCCTAGTCTGCAAAACCAGCAAGCAGACTTGAGTCTTTTCAATGATCCTTTGAGACCTCCTCTATCCAAGACCACCGGGGCCGTGCCATCTGCAGATCTGCTACAATACTCTGTCGCATCGGCCCCCAAATGGCCTGTGACTTGAGGCGCTTGGCGCTCTGGAGGGCGCCCCTCGACCAGAATTCAGCCCAGCCATGCAGTCTCAAGAACTGAGTGGCACAGCCCCCATCCCAACCCCTCCTGCCATCTAGCTCTACCGGGCAGTGGGCAAGAAAGCCAAAAACCCAGACTCAAACCCAGAGTCTGCCTGACTGGTCCTCTTTCTCACTTCTCTTCCCACTTCCCAGTTTTGCAGAAGACAAAAGGAGGAAGGTAGGATGTTGATTGAAAGAGGAAGGAGAGGGGAAAAGGAGCCCCTTGGTTTATCAATGAAGTGGGGCCCCAGTACTTGGGTTTTTGTTTTTCTTTTCTTTTTCTTTTTTTTTTTTTTTAATTCTGCAGCTCAAAATAGGCAGAGACTAGGGCTAATGAGATGGCTTAATGGTTAAGAGCACTGGCTGCTCTTCCAGAGGCCCTGTGTTCAATCCCCAGCACCCACAAGGTGAGTAAGTCCAGTCTCATGATACTTGAAGCCCTCTTCTGGCCTCGATGGGCACCAGGCATGCACAGACATATGCAGACGAAACACCATATACATACATAAATAAATTATATTAAAGACAGAGATGAGGGGTTCTGAAGGATGGGGACAAAGGTGGTGCTTTAGAGGAAGGGAGGGAGGAATGGGGGAATTGAGAAGGTGCCTGCTACCAAGTCCTTCCTTAGTCCTTAGGACAAAGCTTCCTTAGGTCCATCTGCACTGTGGTGTGTACATTCCCCACTCCTGACATACACATTCAGATTAAACAACTAAATATGAAAAAATTAAATAGGTGGAGAACAATGGCCAGGCCTGATGTGGGGAGTATGGCACAGGGACTAGAACAAATGAGTTGGAGAGGCTGGGAAACAGATATGCTCCAAACGTGATGTTTCAAAATGGACTATATCATTCACTCCTCTCCCTCATCTTGTTTCTTCTCCCATGTTCCTTATCTTTTTGGTGCTGGGGACTGAACTCTAGCTATGCACCACTGAGCCATACCCTAGTCCCCACCTCTTGATTACCATCACCAGCAACCAACCACAAAACAAGGAGCCATCATTCATTTGTTTTTGAAACAGAGTCTCATTTTGTGCCTAGTCTGGCCTCAAAATGCTTCTCACTCCTAAGAGCTGGGACTGTAAGCAGGAGTCAACACTAAGTCATCAGTTAAGCATATGTGGTTTTGTTTTGGTCTGGCTTTGTGAGACAGGGTTTCTCTATATAACCCTGGCTGTCTTGGAACTCACTACCTAGCAGGCTATCCTCAAACTCAGAGATCCACCTGCCTCTGCCTCCAAAGTATTAGGATTAAAGGCGTGGGCGACTTCATCTAATTTACTTTACTTATTTTAAGACAGAGTCTTCTGTAGCCTAAGCTAGCCTCAAAATTAGTTTGTAGATGAGGATGCCTTTGAACTTCTGATCTTTCCACCTCCTGAGCTGGGATTACAGGTACCAGCATGCTTGGTTTACACAGTTCTGGGAATTGAACCCAGGGCCTTGTGAATGCTGGGCAAGCACTCTACCACTGACTTACATCAGCCAAATTTACCTTTTATTTGGAGATAAATTTTCATTCACTAGAACTACCAAGGCTGACCTCTAACTCACTCTGTGATCCTCCTGAGTAACGGTGATACCAGCAGCCCATTCCCACCTTTAACCCCAGCGCTGAGGAGGCAAAGGCAGGTGGATCTTTGTGAGTTTAGGGGCAGCCTGGTCTACACAGCAAACCCCAGGGCAGCCCAGGGTTTATCATGAGGCCCTGCCTCAGATGTGTCAAGTTGGGTTTATAGGTGTGTTTATAGGTGCACACAGCCCACAGAACTGGTGGAAATTGGAGAACAATTTACAGGAGTTGATTCTCTGTTTCTATCATGTGGGTCCTGGAAAACAACTCAGGCCTTCACAGACTGAGCCATCTTGCCGGTCCCAACCCCATCTCATTTTATCTGACTCCACTTCTCAGATGTGCTTACGTGTTTACTTCTCGGATGTAAAGGATCTCCAGTCTCTGAAGAGAACAAAGGAAGTACTGTTGCAAAACAAGCTCTCTCGGGTCTTAATATCACTCCTAGAACCTGGTCTTGGCTTCTGACCTCTTGAAGTGGATATGATTGAGAAGTCAGATGTGGCAGTTCATGCCTGTACCCACAGTGCTCAATGGCTGAGGCAGGGGATTTCCCTGAGTTCCAGAGCAGTCTGGGATAATGAGTCAAAACCCTGTCTGAAAAGAAAAAAGAAAAAAGAAAAAAAAAAAAAAAAACAGAAGCAATCCAGAGGAGCTGACATTGTCTCCCTGCTCAACAGTTCTCAAAAATGACCTTCCTTTCTGCCTGACAGAGAGGAAGGATATAGCACTTGGGTTTCAGGAAGGAAAAGAGAAAGAGTGAGACAGCTCTGGAGTAAGTCGCAGGGGATTTCAACAGGGAAGCTTGGACCTTAGCAGCCAAGGTAAAATTAGCTGAGGTGGGGGAGGAAGTGGCGAGTGTTGGGTAAGTAGGGAGTTTCTTATTCTTTCAGTCTAGCATGGTAGGAGGCATTATATGTCCAGATGGAACTAGGCTGCCCAACAAAGGCCTGTTCTTTATGTGAGCTGGACAGTGTTTACTGAAGACAAGTGTGAAAACTGGAAACCTCAGGTGAGCACCGTGTGTGTGTGTGTGTGTGTGTGTGTTACAGTCTTACTTTCTCAGTCCTCTTGTCTCGCAGGTAGTTACAATCAGAAAACCTGAGGTCAGGAGAATAGTGGTACATGTCTGAGCCCTGGGAATCACTAAGAGTTGAGGCCAGCCTGAGCTATAGGACAAAACACTATTACAGAATGAAACAAAGATAGAGCAAGGCTCTATTGTATGCAGACGGAGCAGAAGACAAGAACTCTAGGCTAGTCAGGAACTGGGAAGTAATTAGAATGGAAGCTGCCAGGTTTATGGGGAGCACTCCTTGAATATTGAAGGGGCCTGAGGTTTGGAGAAACAAAATTAACACATTTCCAGCAGAGACATTTGATAAGAATTTAGAAGTCCGGGAATGTAGAAGGAAAGAGCAGAGAGAGCCTGGGGAGAAAACCAGGAACTCTGAGATGAAGTAGCGTGAGAGTGGCTTTCCAGAACCACGACGTAAAGTGAGTTCTAAGAGCAGAGCAGGCGTGAGAGGACAGAGCTGTTCGAAGGAGGCGAGTGGAGAAGTGAGTTTTCCCACCACCTCTCTCCCTCTTCTCTCCCTTCAGTCTCCATCATGCAGAACAGCTCAGGCGCCAGCTTCTCCTGCTACCACGAGTCCGTGTTGGCCTATCGCTACTTTGCAGTTATCTGGGGCGTGGTCGTAGCTGTGACGGGCACCGTGGGCAATGTGCTTACCCTGCTGGCCTTGGCCATCCGTCCCAAGCTCCGAACCCGGTTCAACCTGCTCATCGCCAACCTGACCGTGGCTGATCTGCTCTACTGCACGCTCCTGCAGCCTTTCTCCGTGGACACATACCTCCATCTGCATTGGCGCACAGGCCCGCTCTTCTGCAGGGCCTTCGGTCTCCTCCTCTTCACTTCAAATTCCGTCTCCATTCTCACCCTCTGCCTCATTGCTCTGGGACGCTACCTCCTCATTGCCCACCCGAAGCTCTTTCCGCAGGTTTTCAGTGCCAAGGGGATCGTGTTGGCACTGGTGGGCAGCTGGGTTGTGGGGTCAGCCAGCTTTGCCCCCCTCTGGCACGTTTTTGTCTTGGTGCCTGCGGTCTGCACCTGCAGCTTTGACCGCGTGCGAGGCCGGCCTTACACTACAGTCCTCATGGGCATCTACTTTGTGCTGGGGCTCAGCAGCGTGGGAGTCTTCTACTGCCTCATACACCGCCAAGTGAAGCGTGCAGCTCGAGCTCTGGACCAGTACCGGCTGCAACAGGCCAGCATCTGCTCCCCCCAGGTGGCTGGGACACGGTTGGACAGCGGGCTTGCCTCAAGAGGGCCCAGCGAGGGGACTTCATCTGACCCAGTCAGTGCTGCAACCACGCAGACCCTGGAAGGTGACTCAGAAGCTGGGGAACAGGGCACCGGAAAGGCAGCTCAGCAGACGGCGGAGAGAGGCCTTCCGGAAGCCCGTCGCAGGCCCGGGGAAGCTGCAGGAGCGCGCAGAGCCCCGGAAGCCTCGTCGGATTTCGGGAAGGTAACACTCATGTGCTTCGCCGTGTTCCTCTGCTTCGCCCTCAGCTACATCCCCTTTCTGCTGCTCAACATCCTGGACGCCAGCGGCCGTGCCCCGCGGGTGGTGCACATGGTGGCTGCCAACCTCACCTGGCTCAACAGCTGCATCAACCCTGTGCTCTACGCAGCCATGAACCGACAGTTCCGCCACGCTTATGGCTCCATCTTGAAACGCGGACCACAGAGTTTCCGTCGGTTCCATTAGAGCTGGCTGTCTATCCACCAGGCCAGGCCACACATTCGGAACCAGCGCAGCCCGCAGAGGGCGGGACAGGAGCCCTTCACTCCTTGGACATCTCACAGACAGTGGTGTGAAGTACACCACTTCTCCATCCGGGGATCAGTGTGTCAGCCCTGCATGACCCAAGGAGTGTGGCTAATTGTTAATAAATGCATTGCACTCTCCCCACTGTGCGTGCATACTAATGTGCGTGTGCCTGTGTGTGAATGAGTATGGGGGGGGGGGGGTCTTTCCTGATCTCTTTCCATCTAAGTTTTTGCAGCAGTGTTTGTCACTGAACCTAGCGCTCAGGAATTTGGCTAGACTGGCTGGCCAGCAAACTCCAAGGCCGCCACACGGCCTTCCCAGCACTGGGATTCAGGATATACAACTACAACCAACGTGTGCTGGAGATGCAAACACAGGCCCCACAGAGCACAGTAAGCCTAAAAGGCCCACCTCGCTAGCGCCACCCTGTGCGCTTTTAACGCCCAGGGGTGCTTACGTGAGAAAGAACAATCAAGACCAGGGTTGGAACCGGAGGCTTTGGGGTGACCTCTGCCCGAGCCAAGTACAGAACAGATATCCAGCGATAGACACAGCCTGTGACTGACAGGGTCCCAGGTTCCAGGAACCTGGTGCTTAGAATTAGCTCCCTTTTTTCTTTGAGACAGTCTTGCTAAGTTTGAGGCCCAAGTTGCCCTCAAACTTGAGATTGTCCTGCAACGCTAGCCACAGCCTGATTACGGGTATGTGCCTTTTTCCTTAATAAGATGCCCCTTCACTGCTCACCACTGCTGCCAGAACCTCACCCAGGCCAGGAGGTTAACTCAATTTACATGTTGTGCCCCTGCGTGGATCCCCCCCCTCTACGCTCAAGCCAGGGGACAGGCAAGGTGGAGTCTGCTCTGGAGAAATAGAACAAGCCGAGCGCTTAGCACAGGGCAGCTGTACGCGGAAGCTCTGTACTTGTGCAGGCTGAGGAAGTCAGCCTGCCCGAGCATCGTCATTCCTAACTACCGCCTGAAAGCACAATGTCCACCAGGTGGCGGTGGTTCTCCGCTTTCCTTTTTACTTCCGGTTGCGTATTTGAAAGTGCCAACAAGATTCCTGACCAGGGGTTGGAGGCCCAGGATTTGCGCGCGCGCGCGCGCGCACGCACGCACGCGCACACACACACACACACACACACACCAATCTTGGCTAGAAAAATGAAGAATGAGCGATGAGGGAGGATGTTTTTTGTTTTGGGAGGGTTAGGGTTTTTTTAGGGGGGTGATTGGTTGGTTGGTTTTTTTTTTGAGACAGGATTTTTCTGTGTAGCCTTGGCTGTCCTGGACCGGCTTTGTAGACCAGGCTGGCCTCAAACTCACACAGATCCACCTGCCTCTGCCTCATGTGCTGGAATTACAGGCCTGCACCACCATGCCCGGCTGATGGATTTTTTTTTGTTGTTGTTGTTGCTTTTTTTAAAGATTTATTTATTATTTATACAGTATTCTGCCTGCATTTGTGCCTGCAGGCAAGAGGGCACCAAATCTCATTAGAGATGGATATGAGCCATGTGGTTGCTGGGAATTGAACTCAGGACCTTTGGAAGAACAGCCAGTGCTCTTAACCTCTGAGCCACCTCTCCAGTCTGCTGTTTTTTTGTTTTTTGATAAAGGGTCTCACCATGTAACCAGGCTGTGTGAAGCTCATGGTCCTGCAGCCTCAGACCTCTAGAGTGCAAATTTACAGGTGTATAATCCTTGCTGAAACCATTGTTTTTCTTCTATTTAATTTGAAACAGGCTGTCACCGTGTAGCTGAAGCTGGCCTTGAATACCTGATCCTCTTATTTCAGGCTCTGGAAGGTGGGGAATTGGTGTATGAGTCGGCATACTTAGCCAATGGAGCCTCTATCCTTATCTAAGGTGGGACGGGGTGGGGTACCGGGCGGGCACCATGACAGTACCTCAGATGAAATGTCTGAGTTGGGTTGACAAATGCCCTGCCTCATGTGGCCCCTTCCTATCTCCAAATGCCTGATTTAAGACAATAAAATCTTGAGAACTGAAATGAGAATAAAGGGGCTGGAGAGATGATGGCTCAGCTGTTAAGGGCACTTACCGCTCCTCCAGATAGACCAGGGTTCAAATCCCAGCACCCACATGACAGCTCACAACTGTCTGTAACTCCAAGATCTGACACTCTCAAATAGACATACATTCAGGCAAAACACCAATGCACATAAAATTAAGGTATATAAAATTTAAAAAAAGAATAGAAACACACACAAAGAAAGAGAGAAAGAGAGAGCCAGGAGCCTGGCTTGATAACCCAGAGCCTGTGTTTCTAGGTGTTCTCTGTAGCCCCAAAAGCAAGCTGAGGCAGGCCAGGTGGAGACCCAGCTACAGCAGCTGGAACTGTGAGGCTGAGGCCTGGCCAGTGACCTGAGAGGAGCTCCGTGAACCTGAGACCTCTGGGCCGGACACTCTTTATGTAGTGCTAAATTCTGCAAAGATGTTTCATGTAAGCGTAAAGCTCCCATGACGATCTATTATACTTTCTTATAAATGGGAAAACAAACACCAACAGGTTAATTTGCTCAAAGTCAAAAGGCTACTAAGTGACTAACTGTGGTTTGAGGGTAAAGTCTAACCAGAGCTGTTGCCAGCCTTAAGGACTACAGAACAGCTGAAGCCATATCATGTGAACAGGCGAACCCTAAAAGTCCTTCTTGCTCAGTCGTTCCAAGATTCTGAAGGTTGACCACTCTCTGAAGGCCTGTAAAGGGTTCGCTTTCATATTCCTTGAAGGCAATTCAAACGCTTCCTCAGAGTAGAAGGGATTGCAGTTAGACACTTCCTAACTTCAACTGCTGGGGGAAAAAATGGCTCAGAGGACACAGGAGTCCCGAGACCAAAGGACGGAAATCGGGCAAGGAAGCTGCTTTCTCACCCCTCGGGGCCCCTCTGCACTCATCTCCTAATTTCAGGAAAGGCTGAGTTGGGAGAAAGAGAACGGAAAACATGGCTTTTCTGGGCATTCTCTCTTGGGGCGTGCGTGCTCGAATGGGAAGTCAGTGCTTGTCCCCCTCCGCTCTCCCTGTCAGCCTCCCGCGCGAGCCCGCGCCCGGACGTGGCCTCTCTTTGTCCCTCTCCATCTGGGCGTCTCGCGAGCAGACCGCAGTCTCCCCCCCGGCCCGCGTCCCCCCTCCCTGCCCTCGCTCGGGCGCACGCTCTCTCTCTTTCGCTGTCTCCCGTAGACAGATTTATGGTCAGCCCAGAGCCTCCTATTGGCCGAGCGCTGACAGCACTTGATTTAACGCCACGTCTCATTGGCTGATCTTGACAGGCCGATTTACGAGTCGCGTTGCCATTGGTCCAGCGGCCTCGACGCTGATTTACAGCTCGGTGGGCGCCGGCGGGAGGGGGCGCGGTTGGGATGGAGGCCGCGCGCCCCTCCCCCGCGGCCGTGTCCTCGTCCTCGCGTGCTCGCCGCGCGTGCCCGCCGCGCCGGGAGCGGCTCCGCAAGTAGCAGGCTGAGACCGGTGGGAGGCCGGCGGCGCGCAGCCCGTGGAGCTTTGTCGAGACTGTAGCGCGGGGCCCCTCCCCCGCCCCACCCGCGCTCAGATTTACGAGCGCAGGCTCGGCCTTCAGGAATTAGGAATATTTATGCTTCTCTGAGAGTGAGGTTTGGAGGGTGATAAATAAGGGGCCGCCGGGGTGCCGTGGGGGCTCCTATTTCGGACGCGGCCACTTTCCCAAGGACCCCACCAGCGGCTCCCTCTCATCTCGAGCCAGAGGAGCTCCGGGGCTGTGGGTGGTGGGCTCCGGATACCAGTGAGTTACAATGGTACGGCCCCTGAAAGCCCCCTCCGACGCCTGCAGAGTTTTGCAGCAGAAAGGATGGAAGGCAGATCAGGGAGGAATTTTGTGAGCATCATGTCGTTCTCGGAGACCCTGGAGGGCAGTTAGCCTTTCTGCAGAGGATCGGGAGAAGTCTGCTCCTCCCGAGCCTCTAAGCTCTGTTGCTGAGGAATGAATGGGGGAGAGGCGCCAGTAAACTCAAGCATGTTTCTCGGGCTGACATCTCCCTCACAGAGAAGGGATTTGAAATCTCCCACTGAGTCCACAACCTAGATCCTTGGGAAAAGAGGCTAGGAATGTGGCGCCCATTACATCTCCTAGGAGCCTCCCGTCCCAACCTGTCCACCCCCCCTGCTAGCTGAGAATTAAAAACACTCCTTGCCCTGGGCCTCCAGGAAATGAGGGAGGGAAGGAGATCAGCCTAAGGATACACATGCCTTCTCCAGTCCTCAACCCCTGGCCGGCAGCGTCTTTGCTCTGAGCTTGGGGAGGTAGCAGACAAAGATAGAGGCCATGACATAAGGGAGGTCTACAGAGAACGGGGGAAGCCACCCTGCCCCATCCATGCCCTTCGTGACACTGGCCTCAGCAAGGATGGCCACAGCGTACATATGCACGGGCACCAGCTTGCTGCTCCCACCTCCTCCCAGTGAAAGGAGGAAAAGAGAAGGTCCTAGACTGGCCCTTTAAGAGCCACTTAGGGTCAGAAAGCCTGGCCTACACAGAGAGGAAGGAGCTGATGTCAGAAGACGGATGGGCAGCAAGATGGGGATTGATGCTAATGGGGGAGTTAAAGCTAAGTACCCAGACACTCAGAGGGCAAAACTGCAGATCTGTCTTCCTTATGCTCACCTCCCCCAACACCAAGGCTGTAAATCTGCCTCCTCAATCGGGGGAAGGGGGAATTAGGAAAAAAAAGACAGGATCTCCTCTCCCTTTTCCTGAGCCCCCTCCATTTCTTTTGTTTTCTCCCAATCCATTACTCTTCCCAGTAAAATTTCCAACTTCTAGCATTTCATCGGATATTGAGACAATGATTACTCCTTGTAGAGCAGTCTGAAAGCATACCCTAAGTTTTCCCTCACTAGTTCTGGGTAGAAATGGAATTGGGGGACTGGGGTAAAGGCTCAGCGGCTCTACCACCTTGCTCTTGCTTGGAGTTCACTCTAGTGTCTATCTTCTGGAAACAGTAAGCTAAGGTAGGAATCAGGGTGTTGGATGCCAGGGACAACAAGGTTCTGGGGGTGCGTCCAAGGGCAGCTAGGGGGAGCTTCAGGATCCACTCATAGAAGATACACAGTCTGGTTTCTCAGAGTCCCTTGGATTATACCGGCCTCTCCTCCAGCATGCCCTGTCTGCTGAGCGGACAGTCTCAGGCCAACTGTGTTTGCGTCAAAGACAGCTTCCCCTGCCCTTGAGTGTTATCTGAGGGAGGAAATGGCCTTGCAGGAGTGGGAGCTGGTAACCCCTAAGTAGCCCTGCTGCTTTGTCTTCAGGTGGGATGTGCCTCCCAGCTTTTAATCCCCTACTCCCTAGTGAACTGATGCTGGACTTGTCCAGTGAGGCCCTGTCTGCGTTAGAGAGCAGTCCTCTGTACCACATTTGGCAGCCTCCTCCCTGATCTTCCCAGCCCCAGGAATAACTGGAAGCCTGGTTGCCTCTGGTTTCCAGTCATAACAGGATGACCCTGGGACATGGGTCTCATCTGTTCCCCTCTTAAATTTTCTTTTAAAGGCCAAAAAATGCCTCTGGGGCATCTTCTCTGTTTCCAGAGAAAAGGGAGAAAGCCAGGTTGAGTAGGCACACTGGGGTTATGGACAGGAACCAGGAGAGCCCAGCTTTCCAGCTTCTAGCATCCGGCCCAATGTGCCCACCAGTCCCAGGGAGGTCAGCCCTTGCCCTCAGCCCTGGTCCCTGGCTGCTTCTCTACACTAGTGATAAATTCTGTCTTTGTCTCCCCTGTGACCTAGGCCCCAGGCAGACTGGGGGTCAGAGTCTGGAGGAGGGGCTGCTGCAGAAGAGAGGACATACAAGAAGAGTGGGAGGAGAAGATGGACAGGAGCAGCTGGTGGGCAGCCATGGGGGTGTGCAGTGAGGAGACGGGGCTTTCGATTATTCTGCAGATCCTGAACATTCCAGCAGGCTGTACTCCAAGCGAGAAAGCCAGCGTTCCTGAGAAGATATGGAAGTACCTTCAAAATGGAGCATGAAGAATGCTGGGCTATTGTGTGAGGTGCCTCGAAGGCGGCTGCTAAAAGAATAATATTATAGACAACATCCTTTTCAGCACCTCAGAGCCCTACATACGTGTGTCATATACACATGTGCACACACATGATTTATGACCTGTCAGCATAAAGCAGCCCAGGAGAGCCAGGCTGCCCCTTGCCTGGCCCCTTCCCAGCAGCCTTTTCTTGCTGGGTCTTTCCTGTCTCCACCTCCATGCTTTTTCTCTGCTTTAGCCCTGTTTGCTTTCTTTGTATAGGTTTCTCTCCTAGCTTGTCACTTTTGCTTACTTCTTTCCTCCTCTGCTTCTGTGCCTTCACTGCTTCTCTTTCCTTCTTATGTTCCTTCTCTCCTTCCCTTACTTTCTTGGACTCTCTCTGTGTGTCCAGTCTCTGGCACCCTGCCTCAGTTCTACCATGAACCCTGTTGCAAACCAGCAAGAGACCTTTAGGTGCCAGGTTACAAGGATGGATGGGAGGAAACCAGGCTCTAGACGGGTCCTTGCTTTAGCAGGATTCCAGTGGGATCTATTATGGCCAGGAAGTAGAGGACAGGGTACCTGGAGGTGAACAGAGAAAGAAGTGCCACTATAGGAGAGTTGAAAGGACCTAGGGAGACCCAGGAAGACATAGGGAAAGTACACCAAAGAAGGGCAAACACCAAAGACAGAAGGGCAAGGGCTTGGAGTCCCCAGGGTATTCGGGGTCAGACTGAAGGGGCATCTGTGGGGTTATTTGAAACGCCAATCCAGGGCTGGGGAGATAGCTCAGCGGTTAAGAAATGCTGATCCAGAAACAAGGCCTGGAGACCCAGCCAGAGACGTGAAACTAAGATCCACAACAGCCCCAGTCATGGGCTCTGGTCTACATAGGAACTCCTCAGAGGCCCCTGTCTAGTCCTGGAATGCTGGTTCAGTGTTCCGGTTCTGTCAGCCTCCTCCACTACCATCCTTCCCTGCTGAGGATGACATCAGCTCTGGCTGCCACTGTCCTCAGTCCTGCTGCTGATTTCTCTCCTAGGGGTGCAGCAAGGCCATCAACCTCCACCCACCCATTCCTTCCTCAGTCAGAGAGGGAGCCAGAGCTCACCCAACCCACCGCCCTACAGTGGGAATGGGAGGAGGCTGCCTGGCCTTGGTGGGAAAAGAGGGAGCGCAGGCATCAGGCGAGAGCCTGAAGGGCCACTGGAGGAAGAGAACTGCTGCAGTCAATCACTCAGTGGGGCTCCCTCTGCCGGAGCGCAGTGGGGTGGGAAACAGTGAGGCAGTGGGGTAGGGGCAGCAGGGGAATCGCCACATCTGGCAGGCAGGTGTCTGGCACTGCTCAGACTAGTCTCCCAGCCAAAGGGGGAGAAGGGAGGAGGGCCTTATAGAATCCCCTAGGGATGAGAGAAAGGTTCAAAACAGGAGGGGGAGGCAGACCAGACAGTCCAAGCCCTAGTGTGTCTTTCAGTAAGTGCTAACGACAAGTTCACAGTGTCACAAATATAAGTTGCTGGCCAGAGGACTGAGTAGGCCAAGGCACCAACATTTTAGCCCTGGTGGGAAACACAAGGCTGGAGAAACAAGCATAGAAAATCTGGGATTTGAGAATTGAACAGAGAACTACCTTCTCTGGGCTGTATTTACTCATGAGTCCTCAATTCTGTTCTAATCCTCCTCTCCCAAGCCAAAGGTTATACAGGCTGTGAGAAGCAGGTTAGGGGCTGAAGCTGGGCACTGCTTCTCACTGATCAGCCAGCCAAAGATAGAGGGCATCCTAGCCCTTCTCCCACCGGTGTCCCCACTTCCAGTGCAAGGCCCCAAGCAGGGTGGTCCAGCATATAGCTTTCTATCTGCTTAGGGGGACACGGCCCAGGTGCTTCACAGCTGCTGAGCCTCATTTCCAGGTTTCCATAGAAGAGGATGGCTTTCTCCCCTTATCTTTGTAGGTCCTGGAATTTGCAGACCCATGTCAGAAGAGTAGAGGTGACTGAGGAGACCCTTCAAATTTCAGTGAGAGGAGGAGTCCCTACACTGCCCCCTCCTTAAAATCCTGCAAAGGGGGAAAGAAAACCAAAGCATTCTCCTGTCACCGCGGCAACCATAAAACCCCCAGCTAAATCCATCTTGTGAGCTCACCGCCCCATTAAGATGCAGGGCCAGGCTCTGAGCCAGCCCAGCCACATTCATTTGTGCGAATAAAGGTGGAGGGGGGGGGAGGGGAGCGAGCTCTGGAGGGACGGGAAAACGGCGAGAAGAGGTTATTTACACCACCGTCCTGACCTTCTGGAGCAGCGCTGGCTCCGATAAATAACCCGCTCAGCGCCGTTTCAGAGGAGTGGGAGGTGCGGGAAGGGAGCAGGGGCTGGAGGGGAGCCCCCACGCAGGTGCGCGTCTCCGGGTTACTAATGGTTGAGGCGGGAGCAGGCAGCTGGCTTTGGGGGTGTGTGGGGGAGAACTCAGTTCCCCGAGTCTCCCACTGAGAAAATACCATCCCCACCCTACCCCTGGCGCCAATTTCCAGGCGAGGGGACCGAGAGATGCCAAGGAGGCAAACAGCCCTGTAAATTAGGGGTAGGGGGGACTGCTGGGGAGTCCCTGAGGTAGGAAGGAAGAAATATTATAAGAGGTAGGGCGCGCAGGGGCGGGGGGTGCTGGAGGAACAGGAATAGCTGCCAAAAAGGGGAGGAACACAACCATCACACAAAGGCAGTTTGGAAGAGATTCACTTTATTCCTCTGACGCACAGCCGCGTACAAGGTGGACCTCGACTGACTCCATTTCTTGCAGAGGCCGCCTCCAGTGTGACAACTTCAGCCAATGCATGGGACAGAGCGCTTGCTCGGGAATGCTTTTTCTAAGACATTTTCACAGGGATGTGGGGTCAAGGGGCAACATTACACTCAAGAACGGGAACCCAAGCCTTAGAGGAAAGGCACTGCACCAGACCCTCCACTTCCGGGAAAGGCTGAGGCAGAGAAGAGCTCAACAGCAGACTGCAGAACCAAGGCAGAGGAATGTGAGTGGAAACGCTGAGAAAAGGAAACACGTCAAGGCCCAAGTCATTAAGGCCCCTTCTTTCTTCTTGGAACTACAGCGGTTTTAGTTCCAAGGTCTGGCTTTGCTCCAGGGTACCAGAGGCCACACCAGACAAAAATCTCACGGTTTGATAAAAGCAGGTGGGTGTGGTACAGACCTAGAGTAGGATGTTCTCAGGCCAGATCAAGGTAGACTGCACTTCATGAGCTCCAAGAGCATATAAATCACTGTTCCTCTGCAGCTCTGTCCCCTCTCTAAAAGCTGTCCCCAATCTCTTCTAAGGCAGAGAACCAGGCAGCAGGAAGGAGAGAAGCTGCTGAGGCAAAGACTGCATGGCCTCTGCCACTCCACATCACTCCTAAAGGAAGGCGTCCTCCCCCCCTTTGCTGAATATATGGGCTGCTGGGATGAGGGCCCTTAAGGCACAGGGAGGAAAACACTCAGCACATTCTTTCTCCTGCTTTAATGATCTGAAGTAAAGCCAAGTAAAGGGCCAAGAAACCTAGGAGAGATTGTGGGAGTGGGGGCCACCACTGTAAGTAAGGAAGGGGTGTTTTTCCCCTGACTCATTCAAATCTGTTAGGGACTTTACTCCTAGGAGGGGGGGGGGGGCAAGGGTCCACTGTGATTCTCCAAGATGACCCTAAGAATATCAGTTGGAGACCTGGATAAGAAGTCAGAGCAGATGTGGGTTTTGAGGGACAAAGAACTGAGCATAGAACATCTTCATCGAAGGAGGGACCACTTGATCTGTTCTTTGGCTGACTGCAGCACCTGCAGAGACAAAGGCAGCACTGAGGGGGGCTTGCAAGCCACAGGGTGTGAGCAGGCTGAGGCTCTCCTTCCCCACACTTGCCTTCCCTCTCCTTAGAAGAACAGGGGATAGAAAATCCCAAGGGTGGAAGAATAGGAGGAAGCTCTCTAAGGCCCTAGAGGATTGTCAGTTTGGGAAATTCCCCCCGAATTCAAATCCACTGGGGGGATGAAGAGAGAAGAGGTATACCTGGGAGAAAAGAAAACAAAGCTGGGGGTTACTGGACACACATTATAAAGGGGGGGGGATTACACATCCAGATGGTGAGGATTCCTACTGGGCAAAACCAGAATCACTCGCATGCAAGCCCCAGGTCAGGCAGACTATCTGCAGTCAAGATAGAAGGATGGATCTGCAGAGCCTGCATATTCCAGAATATGCATTTCTAGCTCAGCCCTCATTTGAATAATAAGAGAAAGAGGAGTGTGTGCTATATGCACACAGACCATCTGCTTAAGGCAAGCCTCTGGTGGGGAATAAATCACTGTCTGAGGTATCGGGCAGGAAAGGTCTGAAGGGTACAGGGCAAGGCTTACAGTCAAGATCAAAGGAAAGGGAGATGAGGGTCTAAGGATACTGTTTAGTGAGTCCCAGCACTCTGGGATAAGAGGGAGCCAAGGAAGCTAACTGAGGGTGAGGTTTCAATTCAGACTTGGCGGGTTGGGGGCTCCTGCTAGTTAAATCTCTGTAGTAACCCTGTCCATGTGGAGAGGACAAGGAGGAGGAAGAAAGTCCTACCTGAGACACAGTCTGCTCTGTAAGGGGGACGTCTTCACCCTGCACACAAAGATAAGCAGTTAGACTGGAGCCTGATGGAGGAAGAAATGTTCCTTTAAACTGAAGCAAAGGAAAACGCTCTAAACTTCTCAGCCCCTTCTAAGGACTGAGCCACAATTTTATGTGGCCAGAGGGACTGTGAACACAAAAGGGTTATTTTATACATCTCGACTTTAAGGTAGGGCGACTACTTGAAAGATTTAATTCACTCCAAGTAATCAGCACAGTACCTGAGCCTCACCTTCTTCAACTCTGGGGTGGGAGACCTGATTCCCTAGTCAGAGAAGACCTTCCCTGAATATCAATATGGGGAGTGGGGGATATGGAGGGAACCAGGGTTAGTGTAATGGATCCCGCAAGGCCTGATGGGTAACGACAGCATGTTAATTTGAAGAAATAAACTGCTGCAACAGCAGCCTGAGACAGGGAAGGAGGGAGCCAGGGAGGGGGACCCTCTCTCCTGCCACATAGAAACATATGTTAGAGTAGAAGATTAAACTATGCAAATGAAGCCCATGGCAGTTAAGGAGAAGACTTCACTTTACCCAGCACTGGCAGCCTTTACTCTGGAGGTCAGGGCTGGGACATTCTGGGAACTGGAATCACTCCTCTGCTCAAGGATCTCTACACTCTCATCTTTCAGAGCAGACACACAGCTTCCTATGTTAACTCAGAGACCCCCATTCTGCTATCACTAGCACCAAGGTGGGCCAAGGAGCTGGCAAAGTACTTCCTGAGGCTCCATCAGACTAAAACATACCTCTGCCTCTGATAACTGGCTCTATCTTCACAGAGGCAACAAGCCAACCTCAAGTTCCTTTATAGTTCCAGAACCATGAATATTAAGATTTCTTTTACTTCTTTGTTCCTTCAACATGTTTACAATAAAGTGCCCATTCTGTGCAAAATGCCAGGTGCCACATTAGAAATATAAATGAGCTTGATTTGGTGGCACATGTGTGTAATCCCAACACTCAGGGGGCAGAGGCAGGTGATCACTGTGAGTTCGAGGCCAGCTTGGTCTAAAGTGGGTCCAGGATAGCCAAGGCTACATAGAGAAACCCTGCCCCCCCCCAAAAAAAAAAAAGAACAGAAATAACATTAATATAAATGAGCTCCTCTGCAACACTGAGAGAGAAAGGCCAAGAAAGGATGTGTGCATGGGAAGAGGACAGAAGTCAGCACGCCCTCATGAGATGGACCCCCGCTGCACTCAGCAGGCCGGGCTTGGGAGATGGGATGCGCATCCCTGCTTACCCTCAAAGCCGCCCGGTGCACCACCTGCTGGGGGTCACTCTCTAGGACCACCCTACAAACAAAAAGAAGATCGTTGCTTGATAGGTCCAGTCCCAAAGGACCACTTCATCCTGAGGTCAGGACTACTGGCTGGTCAGCTACTTTTCTGGGGACAGGGGCAGCTACCTCCCTTCCCCACTCCAAATCCAAGCGGGGCAGAGAACTCACCCTCCATCTACAATTTCATCCACAGCCAAGAAGAGCCCCTCCATGTTCTCCAGCAGAGCTCGCTTTTCTACATTTTTCCTGAACACCCAAAAGAGAAAAATCAGGTTGTGAAAGGAATCCTGGGCCATTGTTTGAACAGGGGATCCTAGGCTAGACCAATAGCTATCTACACTACTGAACAGTGATCAGAATCTTGACATTATGGGGGATTCCAGACAGCCAACTTCTGACTCCCAGGTCAATTATTCAGAGTGCTGCTACTGCTGAAGGTGCTTGTAAAAAAGACGTAGGAGGCAGGAGAAAATCTAGAGCTCAGAGCCTGGTGCTGGCGGTGGTGGACATGGCATGCAAATCCTCTGCACTGAAGCTCTGATAGCCTCTCTGCCGCCATGCCCCCCAATATGTTCACACCCTAAAACAAAGGCCAAGGAGGGGCTGGGAACAGCCACAGATCCAGTGGTTAGTGCATGTGGCCTGTCACAACCGTCAGTATGACTCTGTCTCTAGCTCACCTGACATGAAGTCTATTCATTCACCTGGCTGGGAAATAAATCACCCCCTTCCTGAGGAAACCCGAGCCTCTGCCCTGATGGTTTGTGGGCTGAGAGCGCCTGCTGCTCTACTGCAGATGGGTTTCATATGTGTTCACTTAGGAGCTGCTGCCAGTGAAGTTCCAAGCCGTGAGTGTTTTCAGAGAAACTATCTCATATCTTCTCTTGTTTGCATGGGAACAAAGGGCGACTCAGGAGGTAAAGCGGGCAAAGAACACGGTGGGCCCATTTGAGGAAAAGGGAAAGACTGTAAGGGCTAGTAATGGAGAACTGGTGGTGTTTCCAAAATTCCCAAGGTGGGGATGTTTCACCTGGGACACCTCCCTCATCCTTCCCCTCCTTCAAACCCAGAGGACAAGCCTTGGAAAGCTCATGGGGCTTAGGCAACATCAGGGTCACTGGACAGGACAAGAGCACGCACAGGTCATTGAGGTGATGTCTGTACTCCCAACTACTCCTGACGCTGAAGCTGGGGATTACATGTTCAAGGGTTAGCTGGGACACAAGCAAAGAGTTCTAAGGTAGCCTGGACAACTTAGTCAGACCTTGTCTGAAATTAAAACAAAAAACAAAATAAAGCAAATGTTTGGGTGAGAAGCTCAGTAGTAGGGCAGTTGCCTACCCTTGGTTCCAATTGTCAGTACAGACAAAGGAGGGAGAGAAAAGATGGAGTATTCTTCCTGAGGAAGAAACTCTCTTTTCTCCCTTAGTAAGAGAATTATTCCATGTGAAGACCATTCTCTCCACCTACCCCCTTATTCAGTTAGTTGTCCCAAATAGCAAGGCGAGGCTCTTACATTGAACCCATTCCCCAGTGTGTCCAATTTCCCACAGATCCCTGGCTCTAAGAGATAGATACTTTCTCTTCCAAGTTTAAACTGAGAGTGGTTGCTCACCTCAGCATCTGGCTCAGGGAGTCAAAGAGGCAGTTCAGAACAGCCATAAGCATCAACTGTTGAGAAAAAAAAGACAGAAGGTTTGAGGCCCTAAAACCGCTACCCAAAGCAGACCCTCCATTTTATTCTTCAGCAAAAAGCACAAGCTTTCACAAACGACAGAGACATAATTTGAAGTGCAAACATACCAGCAAACACCCTCTGGTTTCTCAGGGAAATGAGCTGTTAAACACTCCACAAGTGGAGACTGCTTTAAAGCAAAAGTTCAGACAGGTCTTTGCTGGCATCTTGGTATTCATGTATCCAAGTAGCTTAGTCATGTATTTCCAACACAGGGATTCTCTGTGTAGCCCTGGACTCACTGTATAGATCAGGCTGACTTTGAATTCACAAAGACCCATCTGCCTCTGCCTCCCTGAGTGCTGGGATTAAAGGTGTATGCCACCATGCCCAGCTGTGTGTTTACTTTTTATTAATTAAAATTTACTTTTATTTGTGTATTTGTGTGTGTGTGCCACAGATGTGCAGGGGCCCACAGATTTCAGAAGAAAGCACTGGATCTCCCTGGAGCAGGAGTTACAGAGGGTTGTGAGCTGCCTAGGTTGGATGTTAGAAACCAAACTCAAATCTTCTGAAAGAAAAGCAAGCATTCTTAACACCAATCTTTCCAGCTGCATTTTGCTTTTTTGAGGCAGTGTCTCATACAGCCCTGGTTGATCTTGAGCCAGCTATATAACTGAGGGTGACCCTAAATTCTGGATCACCCTGCCTATGCTTCCCAAGTGCTGGCATAACAAGTGTGCACGGCCATGTTTCTCTGCCTTTATGTCTTTAAAATTTTTTTATCTAATGTATGTACCATGCTTGTCTGCATCTATGTCTGTATACCATGTGTGTACAGTGCTCAAAGAGGCCAGAAGGTAGCACTGGATTCCCTGGGACTGGAATCAAACAGTTGTGAGCCACCATGTGGGTGCTGGGAATCAAATCCAGGTCCTCTGCAAAAGCAGCCATTACTCCTAACAGCTGAGCCATCTACCCTCATGTCTTTACAAAGCTACCTGATGGACTAGTAACTAGAGGAATCATTAGCCATGCAAGAGATGAAGCCACAGGAGAGCGGCAGAAGGTTCTTTTTAAAAATGGTACTCGGAGCCAGGGGTTGTGGTGCACACATTTAATCCCAGCACTCTGGAAGGAGACCTACGCCTATCTCTGTAAATTCGAAGCCAGCCTGGTCTGCAATGCGGGTTACACAGAGAAATCCTGTCTCGAAAACACAAACAACAAAAGCCAAATACAAGTAACTTTACATGGTTCTTTGTGGTTTGATTTCCTCATTGGCAAGCAAAGACAGTAATGCCACCAACCCACAGAAGTGCTGTCAAAGCTCAAACAATGCACTTCCCAGAGACACAGCAGAGCCCTAAGCAGGACCTCAAACTCTTATTAACTGTGATGGAAAATTATCTAATGATTTACCTGTCTTCCCTCCCAGAAGTTGCTACCACCTAAAATAAACAGTTTTTCCTGCATCCAGGAAGGTTAGGAATATAATCACAGGCCCACTTACATGAGAGTTCATCAACTGACCCCTTCGTACTGTATGGCTTCATGATGATCTAAGTACATACACATCCTGACACACACTGTGATACTTCGTCAAGTGGCCCTTGATAGCTCACAGAAGGAGGACTGTTGTGAGTTCAAGACCAGTCTAGCCTACAGTGTGACACTGTCTCAAAAATAAAACAAAACCAAAGAAATAACCAAAATCTCAAACACCGCTGTGTAGCAAAGGGTATTAAAAACATAAATGAGCCGGACATGGTGGTGCACGCCATTAATCCCAGCACTCAGGAGGCAGAGGCCCCGGTATTGCTGTAAGTTTGAGTCCAGGACAGCCAGGGCTACACAGAGAAACTCTGTCTCAAAAAATCGAAAAACAAACAAACAAAACAAAAAACAAACAGAAAAGTATATTCTAATTGGAGATGGTGTTTCACTCCTGTAATTTCAGCACCTAGAACATAGATGTGATTTGAAAATAACCTGTGTTATACAATAAGATCCTGGTCCCCTTGGGGGGGAAAAAAGACCTAGGTAATTTCCTTTCTGGACTGATTCTCTGGCTAGGCCATTTCTACACAGCTGACAGAGCTCTCTGACAGACCTCTCTATGACCTTGCCAGATAGCAGAGGGATGTGCCTCTCCAAAGCCCCAAGTCAGTGGCTGTCCCACCTCTATGGTTTCAGTTTCAGAAGCAGCATCAGAGGTAGCGAATGCGAAGGGATTCTCACCTCATTTTCATAGGAGCTGCCAATCACATAGAAATAGAGATCAATGCTACTTTTATAGACCACCGTCAGCCCTTCCAACAGGGCAATTTCACCTGGGGAGAAAGCAGAAACTGAATGGTAGGAGAAGAGAATACAGAAGAATTCCCATGGGTTCCTGGGGCCAGCTGCCTGGGCCAAGGAAAGGCTGGCTGTAATGACCTCTAAGTCCTAATGTTATCTATTGTTTTGAGGGTTAGCAGAAGGGACTTAGAAACTAAGGGGAGTCTAAGTGTGTGCTCTCTAAGCCCCCACCCTGTACCTACTTTCCTCCCTGTGTATGAGGAGAATACCAGCCGATGCTTCGGAGGTAAAAATGCAGAGCGGTCACCTTTACAGGCTTCCATTTACCTGCCCTAATGGATGCGGTACAATAAGCAGAGCTGCAGTTAAATTTGTCAAGTGAGGCTCATAAATCCAGGGACTAGACAGGTAGCTAACAGCCAAGCTTCTAGCATGGTATTCCCGCGTGAGGTACACTCACCTCCCCATTACATTTCTGAAGAGTTTATTATATGAGGGGAGGAGGAAAAAAGAAAGAGGAGGCCGAGTCATTTTATCTTTTTTCTGCAGTCCTGCTGACACCCCCTTGCCATAGTTCCTCCCCCCCCAGGAACAAGGGAATAGCAAAGGAGAATGACCTACTATCCGTCCGATGGGTCTTGTTGAAAATGTTCTTCTCAAAGGCCTTTTGCTCCTTGACACTTGGGTAGGTGTCGTCATAGTACTGGTGGAGGGAAAGGAAGAAGGGTAGTGTCATCATAGCCATGAGCTTAGAATGATTGGTGACTGTTCTACTCTGTGATCTTGTATGTCTCTCCTCCAAGGCATGGGATGAAAGAGGAATACTGAGCTAGAGAAGAAAAACTACAGAGGCAGGGAATGGGAGTGAGTGATGGGAAAGAAGAAAAGAAGTGCTTGCTGCCAAGTCTCACTACTTGAGTTTGATCTCTAGAACCCACATGGCAGAGGGAAGAGATAACTCCTGCAAGTTGCTCTCTGGCCTCCTCCAGCAAGTACACACACATCCATCAAAAAAAAAAAAAAAAAAAAAAAAGGGCTATGCTGTGATCAATCCTACAATTCTAAGTGCCAGAGACCTGCCAGCTCTCCTGAGGATACGCACTTCCTAGGATGACACTGCCTGTGTCAGGGACAGTGTGGAGAAATGAGCAACACTAGATGCAGGGAGCACATGGAGGCTTTCACAGACGCCCTCGCTGCAGGAAAATTGGGGGTTTTGTTTTTCTTTTTCTTTTCCATGTGGTTTTTCGAGACAGGAATTCTCAGTGTCTTCCTGGCTGTCCTCACTCTGCAGATCCACCTGTCTCCGCCTCCTGAGTGCCCAAGAGTTGGGAGTAAACGTGTGGGTCACCACCACTCAGCTGGAAGAGCAGTCTTCTACTGAGCGATGGAGATAGGCCATACAAATCTCTTGCACAGCGTGGCAAGTCCATGCCCTGTGTCCCGCACAACTTTGTCTTTGTGCCGGCTGAGAAGAGGGGCAGTGGAGCATGTCACTGAGTCCACTCCCAATGAGGGGCTGGAGGTGCAGGCCACTAGGCCGCCTGCTCTTTAGGGGCTAATCCATCGAAGTCAGCTGAAGACCTGTGACAGGTCTGGCATTTAGTAACTGGATAACGGTTTCCAAAGGTGTCCTGCACAGTTACATCCAATTACAGGGAGGAACAGCTGGTGAATTCTAACTAATCTCCACCTGCTGATTGATTTATGCTCTGCTCTCCCAGAGTTAATACACCAGAGACAGAAGACATTTCTACAGGAGGGGGAGAGGAGAGGGGTGTCCTTTCTCCTCTCAATCCACCCAAAATTAGCAACACCTCACTGGGGCAAGCAGCCTGGTGAAGACTAAAAACCTAGGGCTACAGGTCAGAAACTGGAGGACTTCATGGAAAAACTAAGGCTGAGTGAAAAGGTAAGAGGGCCAAGGATGGAGGGATAGACAGAAAGAGCTTCTAACACTGAGACAGTGTTTTTTTTTTTTTTTCTGGACTAAGGTTCCAAAGCTCTTCCCTGCCCCATCAGGGTAATGGAGGAAGTTCACCATCTGATCCCAGCAGACAGGAAGCACTCATACTAAGAGACAGATTGCCAACTTGGGTTTATCTGGAGTAGTCAAGGTAAGATGGAAGAATTCTCAAAATCATAATACTCCTGAAGAATTTGAATTAGTAGGGTCAATCCCAATATTTAAATCTCCAATGTCGTTGCCTGCCTTTGGATCTCTTTCCCCTAACTGGGCTGCCTTGTCCAGCCCCAACTGGAAGATGCACATAGTCCTACTGCCAAGGCAGGTTGATATCCATGAGAGGCTTCCCATTTACTGAGGAGAAAGGGACAATGGGAGATGGGGGAGGGGAGGGAGGAAAAGAGGGAGGGAGAAAGGGTAGGAAAGAAAGAGGAGAGGGAAGGATGGGGGAAAAGGAGGGAAGGAAAGCTGTGATCAGGATGTAAAGTAAGTTAATCGAAAGGAAAGAAAGAAAGAAAGAAAGAAAGAAAGAAAGAAAGAAAGAAAGAAAGAAAGAAA